ATGGCTCAGGACCTGGGTACCTACGAGACCGCCTTCTGCCACCGATAGCCTCTCACCGACCAGTTCGCTCCCACAGAGAGGGACTCCTCAGGGTGCCGTCAGCCAAATTATGTCGGCTGGCGACACCCAGGGGGAGAGCCTTCTCTGTGGGAGCCCCTGCCCTTTGGAATGAACTGCCCCCGGACATATGCAAGATCTCTGACCTCTGAGTTTTCCGCTGTGCTCTTAAGACCCTGCTCTTCCGACAGGCAGGGCTAGCTTCATAATTGAGTTTTAAATTCGGAGTTCTTAAATTTTTGGGTTTTTTAGTTAATTGGCCTTAAATGTAATATTTTTAATAATTTTTAAATTTAAATCATGATATTTGTATTGTGTTTTTACCTGGCTGTACACCGCCCCGAGTCCTTCGGGAGAGGGGTGGTATAGAAATAAAATTATCCTTATCCTTATCCTTATCTTTATCCTTATCCTTAAAGTTGACAAGGTTGGAGATCCCTGTCTTAAAGGAAGGTCAGATTGTTGTAGTTATTATTATTTAAATTTATAAGCCACTGGCTCCAGCATCTTTGGGTGGTTTACAAATGATTTACAACATGGAAACAAGAGAAATAAAATAAAAATAAAAAGGATAGAGATAATAGAATAACAAACCAGCTAAGTTAAAAGAAGGCTTCAATTATCATCACTAGGAGCTCAAAGCAACCTATGGAATGTCTGTCTTCCAATTTTTCCTACAACAGTTTAGGGGATATTTAAGACAATCTGCCCGGGATTCTGACAAATTTGGTAGCATCACCAAATTTTCAACCTCTTATTATAAATAGATCCCCTTTCATTGGTATTTATGGAGTGGCAAATAAATAACAATAAATAACTTCAGGAAAGAAGAATCAGTGGATATAAAAGAGAATATCCTACATCGCTGCATTTTTAGAAAATGCTAAACGAAGAGGGATGTATTGTGTTTGTTTTGTTTCCTTTTTCTTTGTTTTGCTTTCTGAAATGATGCTAACATTTAATTTTTTTTCGTAGCTGTTTATCTGTAATCTTGTTAGACTTGTTCTTGAAAGTCATAATGGAAGGATTGGAGTGGGGTGGGGCTTACTGCTGCATGAAAAATAAACACAGAGACACAGAGAGCAACTGCCAAATGCCATCTAACTATGTCAAAACATTATGACATTTTCTATTGACGTATTCACTAATGAATAACCTCTCACTTTCGGAATTCAAAAAGCCAAGTAAACATTCCTTCTGTAGATAGCAATAGCACTTAGACTTATATACCGCTTCACAGTGCTTTACAGCCCTCTCTAAGTGGTTTACAGAGTTAGCATATTGACCCCAACAATCTCGGTCCTCATTTTACCCACCTCGGAAGGATGGAAGGCTGAGTCAACCTTGAGCCTGGTGAGATTTGAACTGCCAAATTGCAGTCAGCCGGCAGTCAGCAGAAGTAGCCTGCAGTACTGCACTCTAACCACTGCGCCACTGTGTCTCAGATCGTGCTGAAAGGCCCCCAAAGACATGTGGCTCCATGAACTGGCAATAGTTAGCTTTCTGCATTCCAAGTACCTGCCATATGCAGCATATTCTGGGGAACCCATCTGCTACCTGTGGGAAGGCTGATTAGCATGATAGTAGAAAATGGTGGGTTACCCACATGTTAAGCTAAGAGTCTTGGGATCAAACAGGATCTGGCATTATGCTGCAGTCTCAGCATGTGTTGGAAATGTCTCAAGATTGGTTTCCCACATCAATATTTAACAACATTCAACCAGGGGTGGGTTCTACTTACCTTTGCTACCGGTTCGCAGTAGGGCCATGCACGCACACTTGCTTCGCTCTTCTGCACAATCACAGAAGTTTCTGCACATGCGCAGAAACATTTTGATGATGTCGGGGTTGGTGGGTGAAGCCTCCTGCCGGTTTTACTACCGGTTCTATAGAACCGGTGCAAACCGGGGGCAACCCACCACTGCATTCAACTATGGAATTAGCTGTCTGGAGCTATTATTTAATAATAATAATAAAGGTATTTTATCATTTTCTCTATTTCTATATCAATGTAATATGAATTAACCAGAATGAACTTATTAAAAGTTCCTTCTGATTAGCAATTATTCTTTACCTAGTTATTTTTTAACTATCGTCTGATATGATAGGTAAGTAAAGATTGAATATTGAATATTGCTTAACGCATTGTAAGCCGCCCTGAGTCTCCGGAGAAGGGTGGCATATAAATCAATTTTTTTAAAAAAAAAATCTGGTATTCCAAAGAATCAGATATATAAGTAAAAGTCACCCACTATAATGACTTAAATAAATTGGGTCCAAATTGATCCAAAGATTATATACCACTGACTTGTTATTACAGGGTAGAAATCAGAGCAAATCTTATACATAAATATAAATACATTTATAACACAATAAATATCTAAATAAATGCAATAAATAGTTGCTCAGCAATCTTTTCACCAGGATTATCTGCTGGTAGTTTCTAACATATAAAAATACACATTCTATATCCTATATTCATAGTCTTATCTATACACATTTATTAAATATGTATAATATTTTGCTCTTCTAAATTGGATAGTGAAATATGTAATATGCATATGTATAACATATTACATTTATTAAATACCTATTAAATTGGATAGGGAAATATTTTATTCATTTATCAAAAAATATATATAATGTCCTTTCTATCAAGCCATTATTATCCTAAGCTTTTCTTCATCTTCTATGTCCATAAAAAGGGTTCTTAATATCCATGGTATCAGGCACCAAGCAATAAAGCATACATTACTTCTAGAAACTGAAAATGAACATTGACAAAAAAGGCTTGAAGAATTTACTAATATACATATTCCAAAGTGTTTCTTTAAATACAAATCCAAGATGAATTTTTGTTTTGAAATACAAAATATTTTTTCAACCCATTCTCAGTTTAAAATTCTCCTTTATTGTCAGTCTAACTAACCTCAATAAATGATATTGAAAATACATAGCTTCCTCAGTCACTTAGAATTCCAAAAAAACCCACAAAAAACAGAAAGAGGTAGTATTTCTTTTTTCACACAAAGCTCTTTTTTTTAAATGGCTGACATTTAACAAACACTTGTAGCAGCCTGATTTTCATATGATCGAACCTGACATCATCTAAGCCAGTGGTTAGAAAACAAGATACAGTATAGCAAAAAAAACCAAACGGACATTAATTTTATAGATTAGTAGTTAGACTTGCTGACAAGAAACAAGAAATCTCTCAAAGCTATAGGCCCCCCCTTTTAATACAGCATAAATAAATTAAATATATGCAGCTGATCTCAATTGACTTTAACTTATCCTACCCTAAGGTAAAGTCCCATTTCCATAAAAATAAAATGTAACATGATCCCAACTTAATGAGAAACAAAAATATTACCTATACACAATGCCAAGAATTATTCTCATATAGTAATAGATGCTTTGGGTGCAATCCCACAACAAGTGGATTACCATTTGAAAACTGTTCAAATGAACCCTCAACACTGTCAAGCTACTTACTAAGTCTGCATTATTATTAATCTTCTCATCATTCCTACCACCCATCTCCTCCCACTTATGACTGTATGACTGTAACCTTGTTGCTGGTATCCTTAAGATTTATACTGACTGTTTCCTAATATGATTTGATCGCTTTTTGTTCCCTACGATTATCATTAAGTGTTGTACCTTATGATTCTTGACGAATGTATCTTTTCTTTTATGTACACTGAGAGCGTATGCACCAAGACAAATTCCTTGCGTGTCCAATCACACTTGCCCAATAAAGAATTCTATTCTATTCTATTCTATTCTATTCTATTCTATTCTATTCTAGTCTATTCTATTCTAGTCTAGTCTAGTCTAGTCTAGTCTAGTCTAGTCTAGTCTAGTCTAGTCTAGTCATTGGCAAATTCAGTCAATTGCAAAAGGCAGCTTTACTTGGAACAACTTACATCCTGTGATGAGATTTATAACACCATCAAACATCCACACCTACCTATCCCAGATACTTGGGAAGGAATTGATAGGTGGACAAAAATGCCAAATCCAATCTGAACATTTGCCTGACTGTGTGAAGAACCATAATAATGTTTATGCACACCCTAAATAACATTTAGATTTCTGAGTGAAATTCACCCCAAACCATGCAATTAAGATTCCTTTGACTTCAACAATACCTCATTAAAAAAAGCTGTTCAGAATGAAATACTGATATTTTTTTATTCTGAATTAATAATCCAACGGTTTATTTTTCTTTCCTTTGCAGCATAATCTGAAGAAAAACTAAAAAGTCAAGCTCTAAGATGAACTGTTTTCTATTTTTCATTTTCTATTTTTCTAGGGAGTGAAACTATTTGAACAGGGAGAGAACTGTAAATTTAATTCTTATGCAAATCATATTTATCTGTTTGTTTTCATTTACATATAAAACTTAAATAACGCCCATCAGACTACCCACAGAGCAACTCATTGTATTTAATATCAATATTTTTTTAAAAACAACAGCAGATGTCACCAATTATAGCAGTTTCTCAAAATATGTACCTTCATTTATAAGAAAACGAGAAGCTACAATACTTAATTTTCTACTTGATTTCCTGTTTGATAATTAACATTTTGAAACAGACGTGCATCCTCTCAGTTCAAGACTTTGTGTTCATGTCAATGCAAAATATCATTGTGGGGGATTTAATTACTATATAATAGTGGTCTTCACCACAACTTGCCAGAAGCTACTCATAAGGGCCATATTTCCACAGATGGATCTGTGAAAAATTTAATGATATTTTGATCACCTTATCAAGAACAACAAACATCCAAAAAGACATTTCAAAGCAATCTTTAATCTTTTTTTCTAAAGCAATTTTTCCGGTCAGTTAGTTATATTTATTGCAATTGTTTTATTGCCAAAATGTTCTTGAACACCGTTGAAACATTTCCAAAAAAAGACGAGGAAAGAATTTTACCTTGCGGATTCCTCTGCTTAGTTCCTCTCCATAGTTTGTCCCTAGGATCTCAAACAGAACATTTGGATTCCCACCATTCTCTGCAAACTCCAGGTCTCCTGTCAAGCCATTCACTCCACCCTTAAAAACAAGCAGGAGAAAACTTTCAGATGTATAAAAGGTAAAGGTAAAGGTTCCTCTGAACATGTGTGCTAGTTGTTCCCAGCTCTAGGGGGCAGTGCTCATCTCCGTTTCTAAGCCGAAGAGCCAGTGCTGTCCAAACACGTCTCTGTGGTCATGTGGCCAGCATGACTAAATGCCAATAGTGCACAGAGCGCTGTGTACCTTCCCACCAAAGTGGTCCCTATTTTTCTACTTCCGTTTTTTACATGCTTTCGAACTGCTAGGTTGGCAGAAGCTGGGACAAGTAACGGGAGCTCACTCCATTAATGCGGCGCTAGGGATTCGAACCGCTGAACTGCCGACCTTCTGATCGACAAGCTCAGCATCTTGGTCACTGAGCCACCGTGTCCCACTTCAGATGTATACTTCATTTCAAATATAGCTTCCTGCCCTTATGAACGTTACTCACAACAAAATATAGTCGTTCAGCATTCATTATTCAAAATGTTTTATGCATCTGTGAACTCTTAATAACTACAAAAAGTAGAATAACAACCTGGAAGAAATTTAAAACAGTTGCAATAATTTTAATATATTGACTATGCCTTTCATTTACTTCTTTATGCTTCCTTTAAAAAAAACCCTGTGCAATAGCTGCCCCTCTCAATCAATGACTCTAGGCAGCTTACATCCAAATGCTAACTTTCCAGTACTCAGACTGATCAGTCGTGTGTAACGCAAGCAATTGTTGAAGCCTCTGCAGAAAACAACATTTGATTAAGTTGATGAAAGGATCACATTTTATGAATATTAAAAATATGAATATTTTGCCAGGTAGGTAGAAAGATACACATCCTCTGGTAGGCTAGCTATAAGGGCAGCTTGTATTTGGAAAGGGAATAATTTTAAAAGGATTGCAACACCAACCTTTGAACTAGATCTGTCAACTCTTTAAATGTGTTCCACCTGTCCATTAATTGCTTCTTTTGTTTTTCTCTCATATTTTTAAGTATAATTTTTGTTTTATCTTTATTTATTTTCAATCCAGCTACTTTTCCATATTCCTCTATTTGCTCAATTAACTTTGGACCTGTTTCTATTGGTTCTTCCATAATGAATACTAAATCATCCGCAAATGCTTGTAGCTTATATTCTTCTCTTTTTATTCTCATTCCTTTTATTTTGTTGTCTTGTCTTATTTTCCTGTTTAAAATTTCTAGGGTCAGAATAAATAATAGTGGAGATAATGGACATCCTTGTCTAGTTCCTTTTCTTATATCTACTTTCTCTGTCATTTCACCATTTATTATTACTTTACCGATTGGTTTTGCAATACCAACCTTTGAACTAGATCTGTCAACTCTTTAAAACTGTTCCACATGGTATAAAAGAGACCACTGAACAGTCTTTGAGAAGACTGTAAAAAGTAGATTAGAAAAAAAAATTGTCTTCCTAAAATGGCCTAGAATTTTTCTAAAAGAAGAGAACTTCAAGAAAAAATATTGCATAAACAAAGCAATTGTGTTGCCTTTATTTGCTTGTATTATCAGTACAAGTAGTCCTTGACTTACTGCAGTTCATTTAGTGACCTTCAAAGTTACAATGGCACTCAAAAAAGTGACTTATGACTGTTTTTCACACTTATGACCATTGCAGCATCTCCACGGCCACATGACCAGAATTCAGACATTTAGCAACTGGTTCATATTTATGATGGTTTCAGGGTCCTTGGGTAATGTGATCAGCGTTTGCGACCTTCTGACAAGCAAAGTCAAAATTCGGACGCTTGGCAACTGACTTATATTTATGACAGTTGTAATGTCCTGGAGTCATGTGATCACCTTTTACGAGTTTCTGACAAGCAAAGTCAATGGGGAATCCAGATTCACTTAACAACCCTGTTATTAACTTAACAAATGTGGCAAGAAAATTCGTACAATGGAGCAAAACTCACTCAACAAATGTCTCACTTAGCAACATAAGTTTTGGGTTCAATTGTGGTCGTAACTCAAGGACTTCCTGTATTTTCCCTATTAAACACATCTAGAATCCAAAACTTGATTTTTCGAGACTGAAGATTAATTTGCTAAGATAAAAATGAACTTTTGTGTCTCCTATTTCATAAATCAATGTTGGAAGAAATATCCATCTGGTTCAGTTCCAAGCTGGGAGACAAAATGGAGGCTGGAGTCTGATTGGAAAGAGGGTCCATTTATTGATGAAACAGAAGCACGTGGGTGGTTCTGAGCAGCTGACCACATGGGGATGAGAGTGGGTGACTTTTATACCTTCCCTTGGACTTTGAACTTGAACTTCCTGTTCCTATGCAAGAACATGTATTCTATTGGCTGTTGTAGGTGTCATAGCTAACTTTGTAGGTTGTCTGAGTCCCAGGTTTGGTTGAAGTCTGCTGGGTGATGCAATGTCCCCAGATGATTGTGCCAATGTGGTGAGCTCTGCTGCTAGATGGGTTAATCCTATTATGTCCTGGAGGGTCATGTCTTAATCCCATCACCTTGGAGCTGGAGGTCTTTTGTTTTGTAGATAGGTTGTCCCAGTCTTTCTTAATGGGCACCAAATATCTGCTGGGGGCAGGGAACTGTTTTCTGTTTTTAAAACATATTTCTTCTTTTATCATCCAGGGAAATATAATATTCTGCCTTTTTAATATTTCCTAAAATAATTCATTCTTCTAGGAGGGCGTGTGTCTTCCTTCATCAACACTATCCATCACTGACAATAAAGACCAAAAATTGGGATGCAGGACGTTAGATCAATGGATCATTCTTGAGATGAAGGGAAAACAGCAGCCACAGCTCTCTTTTCCATAGGGCACATAAAAAAAGACTTTCTTTTTGTCAAGAACTTAGATAAATGTGACTGAGAAAACCTAGAGGGCAGTTAGATATAATAAGGTGGCATCATTTTTCTTTAGAGTATATTGTTTGTATCAGCCTTATTTAATAATTTACATGGATTACAAATGGAATGGCACTGCTATTATTTCCCACGATTGCCCCGGTCACCATTTCTTGAAGTGTCTTTACTGAATAATGGGAAAATTGTCAGAAGCTTGAATAATGAAAACAGGGAGTTTTTAAACCCAAAATACCTTGATGGATTCCACTTAGAATAAGAGAGGAATGGTGAAAATGATCTAATTTATTATATTTCTCCCAGTTTTGAGATATGAGAGCAGGTTTTAATTTTAGTTCAAATAGGATTTGCGATGATCTTTACTTTTATGAATTTTCTAGACCTGATAGAGCAGGGCTGTCAAACTCCCGGCCCGCGGGCCAGATGCATCACATGCTGGCCATACCCACGCCTGGTTTAGCGAAGGGGGGAAAAGTCCCGATACGTCATGTGACAACGCCGTGACGACATGAGTTTGACACCTCTGTGATGGAGAATCTAAAAGTAACTTGTGCTGATTCCTTCTTGACAACAGGTGTATTCCTACAGTATACAGTAGAATCTCTTTTCACAAACCTTTTTGACCACGACCAAATTTCACCCTGACAAGTCCTTTAAAAAAAAACCCAGCAAGCAATCATGTGATTAATATGAACAGTTTGTGACAGTAGTGAAATCTAAAATTTGTTACTACCGGTTCTGTGGGCGTGGCTTGGTGGTGGTGGGGGTAATGTGACTGGGTGGGTGTGGCCAATTTTTTTTTTTTTTTTACTTTTAAAACCATTTTTTCTACAACCTCTTCGGCGAAGAGGTTGTAAAAAATGCTTTCAAAAGGCTCTGACAATCCAAGCTGAGTTGCCTGATTGGCAGAGGCTTTTTTTCTTTTAAATGCCTCTGACGATCAGGCAACTCAGTTTAGATCGGCAGAGGCATTTAAAAGAAAAAAAGCCTCTGCCGATCAGGCAACTCAGCTGGGATTTTTGACAATCCCAGCTGAGCCGTGCAATCATCAGAGGTTTTTTTTTTAAAAAAGCATTTTTTCGGCTGAAGAGGTTATAGAAAAAATGCTTTTAAAAGTTTTTAAAAAGCCTCTGATGATTGTGTGGTTCAGCTGGGCACTGGGGGGGGCAGGGATTTTTGCTACCGGTTCTCTGAATCACCCGCCTCCATCGCTACCGGATCGTGCGACCCGGTCCGAACCGGGAGCATTTCACCCCTGGTTTGTGAACAATGTGCTGACTGCAGTTCAGGATTCCTAGAGTTTCATCCTGAATTTGATGTTGATAAATTCTGGAATACCCAGCTAATCCCCAATCAAAAGGCTACGAAAAGCATCCTAACTTAGATAAACGCTGGCTTTTATTTAACAAAAAATTAATATTCCACTGAATTTTTAATTTAAAATGTATTCAAATGCATCGAAGCAGTACATATTGAAAAAAAACGCAATTTCAAATAATGGACTTTGGGGAAAAAAAATGCATTTGGACACCCAGAATTTGAGATGGAAAACTGATTGCCTATTCTAACATATATAGACTAGCTGGGAATGAATGTTTCCCATTCAGAAGGGCACGGGGTTTTTCTTAAAAACGTTTGCCACCATTAAAAAAACCAAATTTGCAGTCCAAATCAATTATCCTTCAAATTGCTTAAATCATACCTCATTTCCATCCCCGAGAGCTGCAATTACTGAATTGTAATTGCTTATCTAGGGGCACTATGGATGGGTGGCATGTTTCCATTTTATTTTTAGTGGTTCTGGATTGTACCTTAGTCAGTCATACCGCCTAACCACGTGGAGATTACAGTGTCTCATTGCTAAATAGCTAGATGAATATTAAACATGGGTGATCTCTCCATGATTGCAATTGGAGTAGTCTGGTAGTTTCGACCAGTGAGGAATTAAAAACAAAACAAGAAATTTAGCAGAATTTAACAGCTAGAGTCACCTGTGTGCGCTATGCTTTTATAGAGAGGGGAATAGGTCATGGCCGAGCCTGCAGACTTTTTATCTGTCAAACGCAGAGGGAAAATTAGCCACAGAACTACCCGAAGGCCTGAACCTGTAGAAACTCCAATTGTTATTTATGTGGTACAGG